AGTTACAATTGCAAGCATAAGTTTGACATTGGAGAGATTATCTTCAACCTTAATGGTATAGTCAAGCCTTAACCTAGTGTATTGCAGTTGGCAACTCATATAAACCTGTATCTTTCCCATGTGAACTGAGCGATAAAGAAGCAATAATAAATCATTTAAGCTACTTTTTGAAATATTGTCTTGCTTAATTTAAAGTCTGTAAAGTACCAACATTCAGTTTTAACCCTTCTTTATTCTATGAATTATAGGTTTTCGTCATACTCTCTACCCTTATGCCCTGATTTGGGCATAATTGTATTTTTCTTATTGCTTGCTCGCTATGGTCGCATATTTATTCAAGTACCAAAGTCAGAATTTTCAATACAAATATCAAGATAGTTCTACTTTATGAGGCGGAAACTTGGAGAACTACGAAAGACATCATCCAGAAGATACAAATGTTGATTAACAGTTGTCTAAGCATAATACGTCGAGTTCATTGGTTGGACACTATCAGCAACAACCTACTGTGGAAAAGAACAAACAAGATCCCAACGGAGAAACAAATCAGGAAGAAGTGCTGGAAGTGGATAAGATTCACATTGAGGAAAGCACCCATTGGCGTCACAAGGCAATCACTCATCAGTTGGAATCCTCAATGTCAAAGGATAATAGGAATACCAAAGAACACATTATTCTGAGCAATGGAGACAGACATGAGGAGAATGAACAAAAGTTGTATAGAACTAGAAATGAAGATCCAGGACAGAGTGGGCTGGAGAATGCTGGTCAGTGACCTATGCTCCAGTATTGGGAGTAACAGGCGTAAGTAAATGATTCACATTATAATTTATAAATTGTCGACTATATATTAACTATATAACTTCTGTTTAAAACAAACTATAGAATGCTGTTCATTTATTGTTACTATAATGAATATCTACTGATTGACACTACAATTTATATTACTGAAGAAAGGTAGGCACTTAGCAACAATAACTTACTTTAAACCTAAATAGAAATAAGTATTATATATTGAATTTATAATAAATCATTTTATTGAAACATGATACAAGTCCCTAACAATAAACACATATACTCAGTTACCACTTATAGATAAAAAAATCCCCAAATTGACCATTCTCTCTAGGTGTGGTATATGCTACTTATGTTGACAGATATAAGTAGTATGTAGAATCAATCGGAAATAAAATACCTGTGAGTAGAAGATTAAGATTAAAATGAAGAGAAGATAAAAGAGAATATAATCAAGATAACAATAGGGATGAAGGATAGATAAATTTTGTAAGAGACAACTCAAAGAAGATGTGTAAATGATTAATTTAGTGTATGGTTTTCATATTTTGGATGTATTATCCATGAACAAGGAGGATCAGATGCAGACGTAAAGGTGAAGATTGGCAAAACAAGGGTCACATTCCTACAATTGAAGAACATGTGGAACTTAAAACAGTTTTCAATCAATATCAAAGCCACAATTTTCAATACGAACGTCAAGACAGTTCTACTGTACCGAGCTGAAACTTGGAAAACTACTACAACCATTATCAGGCAGGTATAAGTATTTATAATTAGTTGTCTACGCGAGATACTCAACATCCATTGTTCGGATATCATCAGCAACAGTCATCTGTGAGAGAGAACAAACCAGGTTCCAGCTGAAGAGGAAACTAGGAAAAGACGATGGAAATGAATAGGATATACATTACGCAAATCATGAAACTGCATCACGAGGCAATCCCTAACATGGAATCCTAAATGAAGGCGGAAAAGAGGAAAGCCGAGGAACACATTATGTGGGGAAATAGAAGCAGATATGAAAAAGATGAATAACAGCTAGAAAGAGCTGGAAAGTATTGCCCAGGACAGTGTTGGATGGAGTGTGCTAGTGGGCGGTCTATGCTCCTCCACGTGGAGTAATTGGCATAAGTAAGTAAGTTTCATACTTCGCCTTAGCACTATGTTATTCCGAACTGGACAATAAGTTGTTTATCTCTATTACATTGTCGTTCACTTTATGAGCAGACGGGATCATAGAATGTACACTTCCCTCTTGCGTTAAATGTCACCGACGGGAAAATGTAAACCCGTATGTATGAATCCATATATTGTAAATTGTATACGTTGCAGATCGATTTTTTAGAGTACGAGTGAAAACTTGAAGGAACTGGATAGATTTCTCACCCTATTATGGGATTCATTAACAGTGACCACACCCACATAGTGATTAACCTCTATGCTAGTTCCCAACTTCATCACATATCTACATCATCAGTTAACAACAGTTTCTACACTACTTATTATCAATCAGTAGCTTAACCAATAAAATTACAAATTTAATTAGTCTGACTGCTACGTTCAGTAAATGTTCGATCATCGTAATCAATCATAATGAACTACTCTTAGTCAAACAAGCATTATAACCTAAGGATCTCTAGATAGCTATTTTGCCTTATTGCAGAATTCTCAGTAGTATAAGTATACAAACCCACCACGAGTTGTACCTAAGATCTTCAACCTAGTATACAAACGTTTTATCACTTCTAAACTCTCTACAGTTACTAATCACATGCTCACTAATCATTACGTTCTGATGAGAAGCCATGAGCAGTGAATTTTAACTATGTTTACTTTGGTTCAGTTACCTATTAAGTACATTGGAAGATAGCTGAGTGGCATTACAGATTGATGAAAGTTAAATATATAAACGATTTGATGAAGTTACTTTCTGCTTTATATTTGTATTTAAAGTGAGCTGTCTGGTTAGAATTTATGTAAAACCTTAGGGTGCTGTCATCAATGATTAGATATTAACTCTCCATGTTCTTTATCTAGGTATCATTAATCATGTACAACTTACAACAGTCATTTAAAATACAATCAAGTAATATCTTATCCTGTCTATCCATTACCACTTAACATATGTATCTCTCTCTTTTGTCTCTTTATCGTCATAGGTAACTTCAAAACTGTAAATGAATTGATCATCAGATGCAATCACACAGATTGAAAGATGTATTTGTGGTTTACATCAAGAACTGACTGATCTTAGCTAGACTATCACTTAAACTTTGGAAATTCTACCACCTTCACAAATCTCCATATCATAACAATAATCATATGTTCACTAATAACTAACTTGGAAATACAACTCTTGAAATACTAATGAGAATCTATGACCAGTGCAGTTTAACCATGTCTGATGTGATATAATTATCTAATTTTATGCAATGAATGAGAGATGTGCACAATCTCGAATCGTTTAGAGATCGATACATATAGTAAATATATAGTCTATATAGTCTAAAAGTTAAGCATCCACGTCCGATAAGAGAAGTCCTGACTTCAATTAATCCTCGATCCTGAGGTTTTATGTGTACAATTCTAATGAGTCCAAACCAAGGGTAAAATAACTATCTAATGCTTTTGTGGTGTGCGCTACTTATATACACATAAGTAGTATATTATGATAGTCAGGAATAAAAGATCGAGCAGGAAAGAATGGAAAACGAAAGCAATCGGTATGAAAATGCACGAGCACTGAAATCTAAGACGATGGTCTGATATTTGCAAAAGGAACAGTCAAGTTTTAGATAATTGATAGATATTTTGGCAAATGAAGTATTTACTGTATAATTTTCACATTTTAGTGAGATGTTTTGTAATTTTGTGTTCCAATACATTCGATTGTCCCCACTTGCGTTCTTTGTTTACTACACTTTCAGGTTTTCTATAGTTATCTATATTTGACAGAATATGTACAAATGTTTACGAAATATTTTGATTAGGATCATAAACCGATTGATGTTAAACGACCATTGAAAATCTGGAAGCACTGAACCGTCATTTCATCCTATTGTAGGACTCCTCAGCAGTGCGCATCTATGACCACACCTCGCGGACTTCGAACACGAGACCTATTGGTTTCGCGAGCGAACACTCAACGTCTAAACCACCGAGTCTGCCGGAATCCAACGGTGTTAATGTCTAACTAATCCACGAAATTGCGTGACATATCTACCATTATCATCGATGAGTTACCATCTCACGATAGACGCGGTTGAACTCCACTGGTCACTGCTTTTCACTAGAACTCCAGGATATCTCTCTTGAAGCCAGTCACTAGTGAGCATATGTTGATTAATATCAGAAGGGGTTTTGTGGAGATTGTAGTAATTTCAACAATTGAGATCATGAATCATTTAAAGCTAGATCACCATGGAAAACCCGGAAACACTCGACAGCCGGTCCGTCCTATTTTGGAACTCCTCAACAGTGCGTACTCAAGATCCCGACTCGAGAAATTCGGACCTAGGGCCTATTGCTCTCACATGAAACCGGTTAACGTCTAGACCACTGAGCCGACATCCAACGATATGAATGTCTAACCTCAACTAATCTATGAAATTACGCAATCATTTTTCATTGTACTGAAGTAGATAACTATCTCTATCCTACACGGATTAGCTTCACAGGTCACAAGTTCTCCATAGAACTCATTTCAGTTTATTTTACAGATTTTGAAAAACGGAAATAAAAATCATTTTTATTTTTATCAATATTTATTCATTAAAATCATTAAATAAATTTTTTATCATTTCACCTTAAATCAATAAAATAAATTAATTCAATTCTATTCACGCCTATATTTAAATTCGCATTCTGATTGGTTAGATTTGTCAAGGTTATAACAATTAGAATTTTATGATTGGTTAATTAAGAATAGACTCATAATACGCCTATGATTTATGATTGGTCAATTTGTAAAATGTGGCTCAAATTTTAAAAATATAAACATATATATATATATAAATAAAATTGTAAATGTTATAATCGTTTTTAATGTTTATCCCTTAATTACATAAACAAAAAACAGACAAACAAACAAACAAAACATGCTTAACAACTAATACAAATATGATGATCATTTGAAAGGTTTCTTTGTGCAATTACGTATCTATCTATCTATCTATCTGTCTATCAATCTATTTATCTATGTCATGTTAGATGATTTTATCATTAATCAAAATCAAATTGAATTGAATACAGTCGATTTAAATATTGACAATGTTATTCATTCATCATCATCATCATCACCGTCATCGTCATCATCATCATCGTTGTCATCATCTTATGCAATATCATCTGTAGAGATTTGGGCACTTATATTAACATTTTTATATTATGCAATAATGATTTGTTTAGGTATATTTTGTTGGTTAAATGCTAAACGTAAATATAAAAATCGTCAAAAATCAATAGATATATCAACATGGTCACGTTTTCATATTGGTCCTAATCAATTACATATTAAATATACAGATGATGATGGTGATTCTATGACTAATTAATTAATGATAATAAACATAATAAACACAAATTTCAGATAGAGGTTTGTACTGATGATATAGTTCAAAAGAACGATGAAAGCTCCATAACCAAACCATCCAGCTCAAAGAACAAAACTCCATCAAAATCATCCATCTAAGCTACAAATCTTCTCCACCATCACGTAAATGGAGCATATATATCATTTTGTACAGATTATATTCATAGAAAAACAAACCTTCCACTTTATATGTTTCTTTATGAGTTTACTGAAATCAATCAGGATTTATTATTCCATGCCAACTTGTATATTATATATATGTGTATGTGATTAGTTCCTGTGTATAAACATGGATATATGTGTAAATTGAATGATGTAATTGTACATTATTTATTACTCAATACTTAAAAAAGAATGTAATTGATAATTAATGAAATATATTTATATATTACTGAAATCATAATAGTCATTTTATACATTATAGTAATTTCAATAATTGAGATCATGAATCCATTGAAACTAGATCACAATGGAAAACCTCGAAGCACTAGATGATCGTTTCGTCTTATTGTGGGAATCCTTAGCAGTGCGCATCCATGATCCCGTACCGCGAGATTTGAACACAGGATTTATCAGTCTTGCGCGAGAACATTTAACCATTAGACCATTGAGATGATATCCAACAATGTTAATGTCTAACTTCAACTAATCCACGAAATTGAGTCATTGACCACCACTGTCATCAGTGAGTTACTATCTGTTGGTTTTCCATGGTAGTCTAGCTTCAATTGATTCATGATCTCAACTATTGAAATTATTATAATATTCGCAAAACCCCTTCGTACATAAATTATAGTCTCACCGTAAGATTATTTGAGGATATAATCTGTCAACCACTAGGATCATTTATCACTTACTAAGTAGTAATCAATATTATATTGTATTAAGGTTAGTTAAATGAGATAGAATAGTTTATTTCACTTGATAAGGTATCTGTGATGAACAAATTGAACTAGTCACATGTGAGAATTGATGTTATCCCGTTGTTAATGTAAAGGACCCAAACTGATCGGTCTGTATTAGTATATGCATATCCTGAGTGCATTTACTTGAAGAAGTCTTGAAGTAAGGAGTTCTTATTATGTAGGAATTGAAGCTAGAAAAGACGACTTTCTTAAGACTCGTTGATTGAATACGTTTGTATCTGAGTGTTAATGTTCACCTTGAGAATCAAATCTGTTGTTCGTCGCTCCAGATGCAGTCATAGATATCTAACATGTTGAATATTTTAGTAGTTATCTACATTCACTAACTCAATGGATAGTGCATTAATGCTTGAAACGATTTTAACTTGTTTTGAGTCATATTGTATATATCGACTCTGGGTTTCAGATAAAAAAACGGGATGAAACTTACCTTTTGGATTCCATTGAATGTTACATTCTACATACAATGAGGATCAAAATAATGATCCATGCAAATAGATATTAATATCAAGTGTTTTGTAGAGATTATAGCAATTTTAATAGTTGAGATCATGAATCGTTTGAAGTCAGACCACCATGGAAAACCTGGAAACACTAGCTGGCCGTTTCGTCTGATTGTGGGACTCCTCAGCAGCGCGCTTTCACGGCCCCGCCTTGTAAGATTTGAATCAAGGACATATCGATCTCGCGCGCATGCGTTTAACCACTAGACCACTGGGCCGGCATCTAACGGCGTTAATGTCTCACTTTAACCAATCCACAAAATCACGCCACCATCCATCATTGTTTCTAGTGCGTTGCTGCCTCACAACAGACCTGGTTGAACTCCACTGGTCACTGCTTCTCACTAGAACTCCAGGATATCCCTCTTGAGGCCAGTCACTAGTGAGCATATGTTGATTAATGTCAGAAGGGGTTTTATGAAGGTTGTAGCAATTTCAATAGTTGTGATCATGAGTTAATTGAAGCTAAACCACCATGGAAAACCTGGAACACAATGAGTTTTATACAAAGCCATCATCCATCTCCCTTTAAAATACATGTGAATTGGTGATAACATCAAGAATATACTCATAGAATACACATATATCAAAAAGTGACTGATCGATTTCAATCCTAAACATCAATGGGAAGATTCAACCAACCAATACAAATGAATGATAGGTCTTCTGAAATGACTCTATAGAATATCAACATTTATTCAGTATATTAACTCATTAGTTGTTCAGTGTTTACTTAAGAGAAACATCTGTAAAATGACTTTCAATATGGATTAATTTGAGCTAGTCATAGATTGATTATCAAGTAGCATTGAACAAATGCTTTGTTGTATTATAGGACATTTTAAAAATCCAGACCTTCAAATCTAATAATGATAACGTTACCCTCAGATGATTTTGTTGACATGCATCTGATGAATCCCATGAAGGAAAAAACACGCAACTTGTAGAAGATCTTTATAGATGCGTAAGTGATATAAAATCCGTTTAAACCTTGTTAAATTATTTTATTTTCTTCTTGTTCATAAAATATCCATTTATAAAAGTTGTTTTGTGATTAACTAAAAATTAACTAGAAATTCAATGCGGTTGTTTTAATCTCATCCTTATACTATACATTCAAGGAAGAATATATTTCAGGCGTAAAGAGTAACAGATAAACTATGAATATAAATCGAACATATCAGAACAATAGTACCAGACTACTTCATTCCTGATTTTCACCCAGTCGGCCTAGGTCCGACTCTCGGCGCGGGGACGTTTTCTGCCCCCAAATGCTCTAATTCGGTCAAGAGTGGGGAGAGTCTGCTCTTCCTCTCTCGAACTTCTCTCACATAGCCACGTGTATAAGGTCACTGCATGGGAAGTCTTACTCACAACTTTCTCGAGGCATTAGTGTCGCTTACAAAATTAAGAGAACGAATAGTGATTATCCGACTCCTGAACCAGTTTATCGGATACTAAGGGTCCATTTAGGGGAGTTGGAAAACCTTTATTCCAAACCAATGGTGCACATGAGCTCCGGTATGCTGAAGGAACAAATGGCGTATGAACAAATTATTGGTCACCGGCTACCATGGGACTCTATCTCTTGACGGCTCTGGGTGTAGCATCAGGGCAGTATCACAACCTACACACAAATCAAGTGGCTTTTGTGATGCATATTCATTCGGTGCCCCTTTGTACCAATATTTATGTGTTGAAAACATTAAATAAAATGAGTATGAATCCTTTTATCTATGTAAAATAGATAATCGGTAACTATCTAAATTCATATAGAGGGAACATAGAGATATAGAAAAAACATATGTAACAAGGTACATACTCAAATAAGTTATATTATAAGTCATTATACAATAATGAATACAATATGAATTAGAGAATAACAATGGCAACTAAATGGAAGTTTACAAAATAATCAATAAAATTAAAATGATCTTTTATCATAATGGCGTCGATGTACACCCTTTCTGTCTTCCCTTAAACTATGAGATTAAAATCGCTTTATATCTTTCGTTTTATCAACTAATTCTTTCTTTCTGTATTATATCCTTATATTTAATGTTTGTTTTATATATTACTAACACTAGCCTCCAAACACCCTGGTACGGCCAAGAATGGCGAGAGTCTGTTGTTCCTCTCAAAATGCTCTCACATGGCTATGTGCATACAACCACTACCACGGAAGTCCTACTCACTGCCTTTTGAGGTGTTGTTTACAAAATTGAGAGAACGAAAAGCGAATATGCGACTCTTTAACCAGGTTGGTGGACACGGAGAGTCCATTTAGGAAAGTTGGAAAAACTTCATTCCAAACCAATGGTGCACATGGACTCCAGGATCCTGATGAGACAAATGGCGTATAAACCACTTGTTGATCATCGGCTACCATGAGACTGTATCTCCATCAGGTCAAAGGCTCCGAATGTGACCCCCAAAAGAAAACCATCTACTTCGGTTTGGGCACCCTGACAATACTCCAACCCTCACTTAAATCAAAGGATTTCTATGCCGCATATCTATTTGGTGCCTTCTTGTACCAATGTTTATGTATTTAAATAAAATAAGCCATTGAAGTAATTACTTCTATGAATTTGATGTTCATCTTGTTGTTGTACTAATAAGGTATGACAACTTAAAGCAATATATATATATATATATATATATATATATATATATATATATATATATATATATATATATATATATATATACCTAGTTCTATATTGTTACTGACTGACCGATTTTGCACCATTCTGTTAGGGATGCAGAGGAATATACCAATAATTATCATGTTAAGTCCAGTGGTGTCCTTGAACTTCAAATGGACATTTCTTATTGGTCGATACTTGTTCACTTGTTAAATATTGTACAAAATGTTGTTTTCTATTTTATGGTACGATGTGGTAGGCTTGATTGGTATATAAACAGAGTATGTCTGAAATATAATGATTCATAACTCAGTGGCTGTGACTTACGTTCTGAGCTCAATTGGCTGGGCTAGACAGGGAAGCGGGATCAATCGAGACTCTAGGTCATCCTTACGTGTTTTCCGTGTCATTGTAATCGATCGATATAAACGCTACTCCATCTAACCTGCAAACCATCCGTTACAACACATTCAATCAAATCAATGAATCACTTGAAACATTTCAATATTTCTATCATACATTATAAATGACCAAAATAACTTCATAGTAACTATATTAATATCAATTATTGGTATAACCTCACACAAATTATTGAATACCATTAAGATTAGAGATAAGCTTCATTGAATTCTAATAACTGCCATAGAAACTTAGGTCAAAATAATAATTTCCTGCTGATTTATTTTTAATCAATCAATATCAATTTTCATTAAAATTTGATTTTAATTAA